AGCAAAGCGCGGGGGGGGGGAGGAGAGAGGCGCATGCCTTCATCCGGAAGCACCTGAATCGCCGCTGGGAAAAGTGGAACGCTGGAGATCATGAACCGGAGCTTGAGTCCCTGATTAAGCGAGGAAATCCTGAGCTGATTCATTCAGCAATTTAAACTTGCAGCATTTAGACCCAAAGCACCTTCTGTTTTAAAGATACAGTGAGGATTTGTGTCTTTCCTCTTTCCTGCTCCAGAGCAGAGCTCGGAAATAATGTCTGAGATTTAAAACTTTCAAACAATTATGCCTGCGTAAACCAGAAAGATAAGCCAACGGATGCATTTAATCTCTTTAAAACAATGTTTTAGAAGTTTAAAAAAAATGTTATTTGAAGACTGTTAGGTGCACTCCTCCAGAGTAAAGGCAGGGGTTGCAAATCCAGCTTGAGTCTCCGGTGCTGAGTACAGGACAGCTTAGACCGTCTTCCTCCTGCTATGCCCCCTGAATGTCTTCCCTTGACAGATAATGTCATCAATTTACATCACTGACGTTCATCCTAAACCCATTTCTTCAAACAAATCCTGCAGATTTTATCCCCCATGTAAGCAGGGTATCTAAATGAACAAAATCTGCAAGAAACTGTAAAGGATCTGATTGATGGCAGGGATTTCAGATTTTAAAAAAGAAAAAGAAAAGCAGGATGGATCAGCAGATGTGCCATGAATTACAGCTTATGTTGTGATTAAGACCCAGGGCAGACTGTTTACAGGGACACATGGTCGTTCAGGAGCAGTTGTATCCTTATTTGATATCTTACCCTGGGCTAGAACAGTCAGCTAATCTGGATGCTATGATTCTGAATGGAGAAAGTCAGAAGTCAACGTCGTTCGGTTAAAGCTGGAGTTGATGAAAACCCAGGATCCAACCTCCTTCAGTCATTCTCTTTAAATAAGCCACTTTTTCCAGGATGCTATCCTTTTAAACTATTTTTCAAGTTAAAATATTTCCGCATAAAGAGTTCTGTTAAACCCTGAAGCTTACCGTCCTGCCAGCTATCTCCTGACTGACTCAGATGAGAGGTGCATTTGCCCGGCTCTAGAGCAAACTTCACAGAGTTACAGGCTACATAAATGCCTTTGTGCCACAGAGCACTTTAAAGGAGGAAATGAAAATGCCTTATACAATCACCACCTTTTTGCCTGGCTCAAAAAAGGTGTCTTGCATTAAGCGTGCAATTAAAAAAAATTAATGCAAGGAGTTAGAAGCAGCAAACACCATTTTGGAACAGGTATTTCTCTCTCTGCTTCTCCCAAGTCGACGACCTCTATGCCACATACATACATGATCTAAAAATAAAGCCAGCCTCATTTTTTGCGCCAGAAATACTGTGTTTTCTGGTTTGGCGATTTAACCGGCTGGTTTGAAGTCACACCCTCTGCCAAGATCTGTTTAGCCAAGGGGTAACTTGAACCTCATGGTGGTAAGAAGCACCAAGGAACAGGCTTGGGGCTTTAAAACACACACGGAAATTTAGGAAACCACCATGCCTATAGGAGGACAGGTGCTCTGAGGATGGTCCAAGACCGCCACCTGCTGGAGTCGCACAGCACAGCATGACCCCAAACGTCCCTGGAAGAAATGCAGAGTGGAGTGTTCCCATTGAACCACAAGTACAGTGGTGCCTCGCAAGATGATGCTAATTTGTTTCACGAAAATCGCTGTCTTGTGAAAACATCGTATTGCAAAACGCAGTTCCCCATTAGAATGCATTGAAATCCATTTAACGCGTTCCAATGAGGGGGAAATTGTCGTCTTGCAAAAATCGCCCATAGAGAAACCGTTTTGCGAAGCACGGACCTAGCTGTCAAAACCGCTGTCTTGCGAAAAACCGTCCCCAAAAAAACCGTTTTGCGAAGCGCGGACTCAGCAGTTAAAATTGTGTCTCACGGAAAATGGTCTCCAAAAAAAAAAAGTCTTGCGAAGCACGGACCGAAACATCGTCTAGCGAAAATCGCCCATAGGGGAAACCGTTTTGCGAAGTGCTATAGCGAATGCAAAACCCCATCGTCTTGCGAATTAACCGTTTTGCGAGTTAATTGTCTAGCGAGGCACCACCTCCTACCTCTTTCGTTGCTTCCAACCTCTGATCTTCCTCTGCAGAGGTGCCGGTGCAGCTGATCTTAAGGAACTGCACGTGGACAGTGCTGGAACTGGAAAGCCCCTACAGACCTCTCAGGGATGCTCCTGAGCAAAACACCCGACTCCCCAAGGCTGAGGGGTTTGGTTCCCTACTCCCCCCATGGGCTCGGGTCGATGCACAAAACGAGCAACTTTAGGCGGAGGCCCCCACGAGTTGTCGTGCCCAAACATTTGGGGAGGGGGGGAATCCAAAGTAAAGGGTAAGATCCTTGTTAGGGTCAAATAAAGAGTGTCTAAAAGCTTACGGACTCAAGCAGAATTCTTCAGACTGGAAGTGGATCAAAACAGGAGGGATGGAAATGAGAGAAGTCTGGGGAAATCGGAAAGCTGTCCCCAAAGTTTGCACGGGATAGTAATATTCAGCTGGAAAGAGAGGCTGGGAATTTCAAACTTGTTCAAGACTATCTTTACGAGCCTTGAAAGCCAGAAGTGTGGCTTTTAAAACGAGACAGCTTGTTCCCATGATAATGAATCCGTCACCCAAAGCAGGTGCGTTGCTCGCCAAGATGCAAGCAGCGGGCTGCAGCAGAAAGAAAGGAGCAGCCTCCGTGTGACTGTGCGCATGAAGGGAGAGCCGAAGGGCAAAAGATCTGGTTGGAATAACCACACCCTCAAAGGTCAACAAAGTCCGGATTGGAAACTTAGCTAGGACCCCAGTTTTCCTTCGGGGGACGGTCCTTTACCTGGCGAGATCTGGATCCGGATCCACCAAGACGCTGATGAATCTAAAGAAAAGGGATCCTTTCCATTTCACAAACTCTTCCTACAGGAAACAAGACAAGCGATACCTTCCGATTACCACTCCGGACGGCAGACCCACCAAATGAAAGCAGCCTTATTAAGCAAATCCATCCTGTCTGGAAGCCTTAAACAAATTGCCAACCTATTTCTGCAGCCTCTTGGGTGCTCGTTTTAGAGTCCGGGGAGCTGGCAATGCCACGAGCGCAGGGTAACGGCATTTTTAAAAGCCGTGCCAAAGAAAGCTGAACTCTACAACCCGTATGCATTTTGTAAACTGAGCAAGGGTTACTCAGCCCATAAAATTTGTCTGCAGGTTTTCTCCTTTTAGGTTTTACGGCTAATAAGGACTGATGCAGGACACGGATGCTCCAAACTCAAAATCATGCAGCCCTTGAACGCCTGAGATTCTAGCAGGGGTTGGCCATATATTCCCCATGCCTTTCACCCCAGATTACATTTCTTCTCTTTGTTCATCCTCTCTCCATTAGATCTTCACAACGATTTTGTGAGGCTTGTTAAGAAGAGGGACAGGGGACACACTTACCCCTCGGACTTCACAGTGGGTCTGACTCCCCACAACCCAGTACAAATAGGTGGATCTGCTACAGTTCCCCTTGTCTGCCCCTGCAAGATCTAAAAACCTTATTCCTTTTTCCCCCTAGGTGAGAAGACATTCTGCAGATGCTGAATTACAGTAAGACCCCGCTATCCACGGGACCAGTATCCGTGGATTCACTTATCTGCTGCCTGCCAAGAGTAAATAATAATAATTTTTTTAAAAACCCAGAGATTGGTATTTAGATGTATTTCCAGGGTCTGTTTCCCAGAAATGGGCATGAGAGGGAGCCAGAGACCACACAACGTCCACCATTCAGTAACGTCCCATGTTTTTCGGCATCTGCAGGAGAGGGATGAGATTGACACCGATCCCCCATGGATGACACCGTCCTACTCTATACACTACTATATACTTGTGTCCCGATGGAATTGTACACACACCGTCCTCCGCATCAAGAGCCACGTGGCCCTTCAAGACCACCAACCCACCGGCCTGCTTCACTTGCCTGCAAGAGGTTGGTGAGGAGGATGAGCGTCTGCCTGCGGATGAAAGGCTCCGGATCCTTCAGGCATACGGAGATGTCCGGGATGTACCTGTCGGCCATGGTGGTGTAGCGGATGCAGAGGTCACACATCACAATGACCACGTTGTTGCGGATGGCCATGTCCTTGGAGACCTCCAGCTCTCGCGCCAGGGCGGCAATGCTCCGCTTGGCCAGGTCCTCGTGCTGCAGGCACAGCTTGCCTGTCGGGGAGGGAGGAGAGGAGGGGCTCAGCGCCGAGAGGCCGGGGTGGCCCTTCCTGCCAGGCCTCGAGGCCCCAAGCGACAGGGGGCCCCGGCCGGAAGGGAGGGATCCAGGAAATAGGAATCGCTCGGAATGGTGAACATTTCTCCCCCGTGGCTGGTTTTCAAGGAGCAAGTGCGCACCGAAGCGGCGGCTTCAGCGCAAGTTGACCATTGGCCCAACTGGCCCAGGACCGTCAACCACCGGATCGCTCAGGGGTTTCGGCATCCGGCTGTGGAGCCAGCAGTTGGGAGTTTGATTCCTGGCTGGACTCGATGATCCATACGGTCCCTTTCCAGCTTTGCAGTTCTAAGATTCTATTCCACAGAATACAACACAACTCTTGATGGGTAGCACCTATTCTATTCTATAGAACACCATACGGCAGGGCACGGTTCTTGCTTGGGAGCGCCCATCCCTGGTTTCCGAGCGGTCTTGTTCCTAGCTATGTCTGAGAGCCCAAGACGTTGCCTTGTGCTAAGCTGATCCCCGGAACAACCAGGAGGTTGATTCCTCGTGGCTTCCGAGGAAGTTGGGGTCCGTTCAAGGAGACAGGATGAAGAGCCCTCGCACCACTTACTCTCTTCTCTTTCTCTCTGGGCAAAAAAGGCCGGCAGCTCCGCGAGGGTTTGGGCTACCCATTCCTTGAGAAGGTGGACAGTGGAGTCATGCAGCCGGTAGGGCCCCTCTTGGCCCGGGGTCCCTCTCACGCCACTGGGAGCTTACGGTTGGCAGCAAAGGAAGCATTGCTTTCCCCGCTCAATAGGGGCACGTCTGAAGGATGTTTATGGTCATCAATGGGTATCGGAGAAGGAGGGAGGAGCAGAGAATGACCAGCTGCTCTACCCAAACCTCTAGAGTCCTACCTAAGGTGACGAAAGCGTGGGCTCTGACCGCGGAAGGCATCCCAGAACCTCTGAACTGAGACAGGGGTTGCGATGGTGGAAGGTCCTCCTGGTCCTCGGAACAGGACACTAAGAAAGCGTAGAAGAGAAGTTAGAGGGGGTAGGGCCTGCCGAAGCAGGCGGACCTTCCAGCCGGCGGAGCAGCTAAGCCAAAGGGACAGAAAGGCCTTACGTTGGTCCAGAATGTCGGGACTCGCCAAGATGGACTGTATGAGCAGGAAAACCCGTTTCTCCACTCTGGCTGGGCAGAGCTGGGCCGCTTCCCCCAAGGTGAAAAGATGCCGCACCTGCAAAAAAAAGGAGGTGGTCGGCGTGGCGGAAAAGCTCCACGCGGGGGCCCAAGCGCTATGTCGTCACTGGGCTGTCAATGGGTCTAGAGTAGAAAGGCGGTGTCTTGGATCCCAGGGGCCAATTTTGGCGCATGACCCCACCCAAGTGGCCAAACCAGCAGTGGCCACCAGCCCGTTTTTCAGCGCTGTAAAAACCCATTTTGGAGAAGGGGAAAAAAGCACTCAGAACAACTCCAGGAAAACAGTTTTGCAGCGTAAAGGGGAAAAACCAGAAGGCGCCCAAGTGACCCATGCATGGTATACCTTATTGGAAATTGGTTTTTTTTTAATTTAAAACAAAATATATATAAAGACTTCAAGCCTCAGGAGCCACACTCTGCCTGGCTTTAATTACCAAGAGATCCTCTTGCAGATGTTCCGTTCCATCCTCTTGGAGGACGATTCGGGAGATGCAACCTTCGCACGTGGACACCAGGTCTCCAAACACCTGGTTCAGCTGCTCCTGTTCAAAGAGGGGAAGAGTTTGACACCGGGCTCGCTTAAGGAGACACTGCGGCCTTTCCGGCTGCTTCTCTCCCACCCAACACGCAAGTCCCCAAACCCAAAAGAGAAGAGCCGTTTAAACACCACTCAGGGAGCAGATCACGACAAAGGGTGAGTTTTTCTTTGCCATGAAATCTCTTCCAGGAGGGAATCATAGATGTAGCTGCGGTTTGATCATGAATGAACTGATGTCGATCAGGAACAAACTTATGTCAGCACATGCGGAAGACTCTCATCTCATACACACACACACACACCCCAAGGGTCACAAATATATGCAGGAAAGAGGTGCACCTTTTCAGTAGAGCCTCCACCCTCAAAGAATCATTGAGTCGGGAGGGGTTTATAAAGCCCTCGAATCTAACCCCCTGCTCAATGCAGGAATCCAGGTAAAAGCAGATCTGACAGATAGCGGTCCAATTTTCTCTTGAATGCCTCCAGCATTAGCGCGCTCATCACCTCCCAAGGTCACTGGCTCCATTGTTGTACCACTCTAACAGTTAAGACATTTTTCCTGATATTCAACAAAAATCTGGCTTCCTTTTAACTTGAGCTCATTGTTGCATTCCTGCACTTGGGGATGGTTGATAACAGATCCTGCCCCTCCTCTGCATGACTGCCATTCAAATATTTGAAACATGTTATCCTATCTCAGTCTTCTTTTCTCAAGGGAAAACATGCCCAGTTCTTTCAGTCTTTCCCCCTAGGGCTTGGTTTCCAGTCCCCCCTGATCCTCCTTGTCGCCCTCCTCTGTTCTTTGACCACATAGAAGGGGGAAGTAATCAGAATGGTGCTGACAAAAACAAGGTGCTTAAGCTCATCCACACTATGTAACCCAAAGCGGAATCAAATCATCAGCATAATGTCTTCCCACGCGGTTGGGAGCCCATCCGCTCTGCAAGCACTCTGGCCATAAAAGGGTTCTTTGACGCAGATGATGCAGTTTCAAGAAAGGAAGCGTCCTGCAAAGAAATCTGAAATCTATGTCTCAACAGTAGTCGTGGTGGGATAGATGTTGAGGCTCACCTGAGCCTCCTTTGGGCCCTCTGTAGAAGCATGGCAAATTTTCTGGAGAGTCTCAACAGCTGGACTGATCATCTCTAGGGGACACTGGAAATCCTGCAGCCAGTGTTTGATATCCTCTGAAAAAGGAGGTGAGACATCTAGTGTGAGATAGCAATCCGATGGGACTCCATAGCAGCCAATCTCAATCTCTTTTTTTTTTTGGCCACAGCCACAAAGACAAAATGAAAGGAATATACAAGACCCTTGTATCTGCGGGATCAGTATCCTCGGTTTCATTTATTCAAGGTCTTAAGATATTAAAAGAAAAAAAACCAAGAAAAAACTATTTTCACATGTATTACCAGAACTGGCCACTAGAGGGAACCGAAGACCGTGTTATGAATACTTGTTGGTGAAGACTATATAGCAGTGGTTCTTAACCTTTTTGAAAGAAATGCCCCCTTGAGCCATTGAGGAAGTTATCATCGCCTCCCCTCCCCGCGGCGATGATATCTATCTATCTATCTATCTATCTATCTATCTATCTATCTATCTATCTATCTATCTATCTATCTATCTATCTATCTATCTATCTATCTATCTATCTATCTATCTATTTAGCAATGTGTACGGGATATAACTGGGTTTTAGTCTCATCCTGCTGCTGAAAGGATTTTGAGCTATTCTTCAGCCAAAGTGGGATCTATGTACATAATTCCCACAAAAATGGTAAAATTGTGGGATATAGAAGCAAGCACCATCCATCTATCTGGTGGCTAAATGAATTTGAAAAGAGATTTTGGCAAATATCTTTCATCATGAAAAGCAATTAACCCAACGTTTTATGAATACCTGTTAGTGAAGACTATAGCATGGTCTCTGTTGCCTCTAGTGGCCACTTTTGGTAATGCAAGTGAAAATATTTCAGCACTGGGGCTTGGAACCAATCTTCAGTGGATATGGAGGTCTTATTGTAGGCTGAATCATGATTGTATAAGTTGTATAACGAACCGTATAAGATGGTGCGTGAGGAATTGTTTCCAGTCCCTCTTCAAATATGCCAGAGTAACCCAGGGACCCATATGCAACCCTGCTGAGAACAATGGTTCCCAACACTTTGGGGTCCCCAAGATGTTCTTGGACTACAACTCCCAAAAATCCTGGCCAGCACAACTACTAGTGAAGGCTTCTGGGAGTTTGAGTCCAACAGCATCTGCTCTAGATATGCTGGTGCCAGAATGTGGCTTCTGAAGAGACACCTACCAGTCAACCTGCTTTGGACAGCGCTGGGCAAGTGCTTCGCAATGCTCCTGATCACACCCAGAATGTGTCCCGTGATCTCTGAGGTGGCTCCCAGCTGTCTAGAAAACCCAGAAGAGACATGACGTTATCAGGAGTAGAGAAACCTCCTTGGCTTCTGAATGAGGTCCAGGCCCATCCACCTTCTGTGCAAAACCACACTTGCCTGTCCAGATGGTCCCAAGCATCAATTATTTTGGAATAATCTAGTTTGGGTGAGGATCCGGCCACTTTGGCCAGCAGCATCCACGCCGGCACAGCACGCTCTGTTCCTGTGTGGGAAACCACGCTGCTGACGAAAGCGGAGGAGAATCGGTCCTGCTTGGACCACAGGTGGAAAGCTTTGTTGAAGTAGCGGCTGAAAGAAAGGACAAACCGAACAGGGAGCCACCTTTAAACCATTTCAAGTCTTCAGCGGTCACAAAAGAAGCCACTACAGGCTCTTTGCTTACACTCCATCAATCGTGGTCATCGTCCCCACGTGCCATCAAGCCAACACTTATTCATAACAACCCTTTCCAGGATTTTTCCAGATAGAGAATACTCAAGAGGTGGTTGACCCTTCCCTTCCTCTGGGGGGCGCCCTGGGACTGTGCAGCTTGCCCAAGGCCACCCAGGCTGGTTCTAACTCTGCAGGAGGCACCGTCGGGCAGCTCCTCTGTGAAGGCAGAGGCCTTTAACTGCAGAGCCAGAGGTTTGGAGTTCGATTCCCCCACTGGGCCTCTTTGACCAGGGATGGACTCGATGATCCATACATAGGTTCCCAAACTTTTTTGCCCCGTAGACCGCTTGCCAACTAATTTGTTTTCTGTAGACCTCCTGCCCCCTTGCCAAGCTTTGATAAAAGTCTAAACTTGAACCCCCAATTTTTTTTCTCTCTGATGTGGACCCCCTGCAAGTCGAAATCGACCCCTGGGGGTCCATATAGACCACTTTGGGAACCTAGGCCTGCAGTTCTAAGATGATGATGATGCCAGAAAGCTTTGGAATATGAAATCTAGAAATCTCAAGGAAGATTGAATTCAGCAAAACAAAAGGGACTAGAAAGTTGGAAAAGGCCATCTCAGAACTGGAAAACTCTCTATCTCGTCAATCTTGAGATAAATATAGGGCACAGAAAGGGGGGAAAGAGATAGAGAGAGATATGGAGATTTATGATGGAAGATGTTTATGTTTCATTCCTCCATCTTGGCAACTGGTTACCTGCGCGCTTTTAAGCTTTTCTATTTCCCTGTGCCAAAACAATCACCACCAAAGGTCTGGAAAAATACCGACATAGCCCTGACTCAGGGTGTCGGGGAAAAAAACACTGAGACATTTTTGCAGGCGGTATGGGAACGCCAAATATACTGTTCTACAGCCAAAAGGAAGGCTCGTGACGTCGCCACCAGCTGCAAAGCGGCACGATCCATGGATCAGCGTTCTATTTCTGAAAGTGCTACATGCTATTGATTAATAAACATACGTTGTTTTTAAAATCAGCATATGTGTTCCTGTCATTGCAGAAGCACCACCTCATCCCTTTTGCTGCTTGCTATTAAGGTCTGGGAAAAGAGACAGAATAAGCGCTCTTAATCACAGACAAGAAGCATATTGCGCACCGGAATGAAGACACATGTTCTGGTCCCCGTGAGTGACAGAGAGACCGTTTCTCTCACTTAGATGCTTCTCATTAGCATCCAACCATCTTACGCTCTTTGAAAAGCAACAAGCTACGGTTGGGGACCTTCTGGGCTAGAATCAAGCCCTTGAATTCAGCCCAGAAACAGATCAGCAGCCAGTGGGGCTGCTGTAACAGGGGCAGTTGTGCGATCCCGGTGTCCAGCCCCAGTCAGCAACCTCAGCGGCGAGGCTTAGTGGCTTCCGAGCCTTACCTTAGTTCAAGGCTTTCTGTGGCAAGCAAAGTCAGCATGTCCCAGGCCAGCACTTGGCTTTCGTCCCGAGAGCTGAATCGGTTCGAGGGCTGAATCGGCTGCAGCAGGAGACGGTCAACACAGTCCAAGGCCTTCTCCTGCACGGTGCTCTCACAGTCCATGATGACCGGGACGACTCCCTTTAGCCAGGCTTTCTGTATGAGAACGTCGTCCGGCTGAGACTGAATAAGGGCAAAACCTTGTTAGGAGCGCAGAAGGAGGGACTGAATGGATTTTGCAAGCAGGCCACACCCAGAAGTAAAGATTGCAAGCTCCTGCTCACCGTTAAGAGGTCTGAGAGAGACTGCAGGGCTTGCTTCCTTACAGAGACGGCAGGATCGCGACACCGATCCTGGAAGGTGGCCAAGTCTTCTGGGGTGCATGGAATCACGTGATGTTTCAAGACACTCATCAGCACCTAGACGTCAGATGAACCATAGGTCAGAACACCCACAGGAACAACGTGATCAGGTAAGCAAATATCTACCAAAAAGCAAGTCTAAGACTCTAGTGAAGTTAGAATTGGATTTTAATTCCACACATTGTAGCTGACAAAGTATGGAAGCATTTGCTACTCTTTTCCAGCCTTATGGCTGTGGCAGATTTCCTGCAGGGAGCAGAATTTACATGGTAGCCCCGTGCAAAATTCACTGGCCCTAAGGAATGCCTTCGCACCTGTTGCACGGACTCCATCCACTACCCAGTCAAGGATGTCCTCCTGAAAGGGTCACAGTACATTCAGTGAGGATTCCCCTGCTCCATGGTTGAGTTTAAAGGTTGGCTTTTGCCTACAGGCTCCCACTAGGGGGAACACGAAGCAAGAGTAATGGAAAAGGGGAACAGAATCTCATGCTGGAACAGGTTAATCGAATGATACTATATAATAGAACTGCAGAGCTGGATGGGACCCACTCTATGGATCATGGATTCCAGCCCCTCTCAAGGAGGCACAAGGGAGGAATCGAACTCACAACCTCTGTCTCTGTAGCCAGAGACCTAAAGCACTGAGCTGTCCAGCAGTTCAAATTGAGCCTGATGTTCTGCAGTCAATACACCAGGCGGTCAACCAACACGGGGAGGGGCTTGAACAAGTTTACTAGCCGCCTAGAGTGGTCGAAATGACTAGATAGGCGGGGTATGAATACAATAAATAAATAAAATAAAATAAAATAAAAACTATTCCCAGCAGTAGAGAGTAGAGATGGGCAAGAACTGCTGAAACGGTGGTTTGGGCCAGTTTGTTTTCTGGCCAAACAGGAATTCAGCCCTTCCCAAAGCCCTGCCTCCTCTGGCAGGAACCCAATCAGGGGCAGTGCCCAGAGGAGGTGGGGCAGGGAAGAGCCCAAAACCTGTTCAGTCCAAAAACAAACCGGCATGAACCACCGATTTGGGCCCATCTCTAGTACGGAGCACAGACACATATCAAGTAATATTCTGCACACCTAACGCTTATGCAGTTCTGCATTCAAATGGGCACCAATTCATTACCCCACCTCACACATTCATTATGTCACTATAAATATTCTAAACATGAGGGTTTAAATGTTAAAAAGTGATTTATTCAAGCTTACATATTTCATTACATAGTAATAAATCTCTCAGCGGGAGATCAAGTATTTGCCAAAGTTAAGGTCACATTTCATAGTCATTCATCAGACTGTGTCGCTTCCAGGGACAGGAATTCTCTCTCACTCATTATCGGCACAAATCTGGGATAATTTGGGTTATTTAGATTTATAGCCTAGCCTATCCCAGTGGCTTATGTTATGCACATTTATAGTTTCAAATTAATGGAAGGGAGAAGAGGCAGGAAAGGGTCCCAGTTGAGGAGAATCTGCTTTTCGCAGAAAAGGTCACCGATTCATTCCTTGCCATCTTGCGTTTTGCAAAAAGGTCCAAGAAGCAAATGATGGGAATGATTCATGCCTTAGTCTGCCTGCAAACCTCCACTAGAGTAAGCCCAATGGCTCAATAGTGAATCAACTCTTATAGAAGCTCCATTGACACAATGGGTCTACTTGAGTTGGGACTATCAACTTGATTTCAAGTCTTGGCTTCCAAAATTTGTATACTGTATGTTCCTTTCCATGGTAAGTGTGAGGAACAACAAGCTTATCTTTAACTATATTTATCTGACATCAATTCTGTCTTGCTCGCAGAACCAGGAGTCCAGCAAGGCCCAAAACGAGGTTAACTACCGTGTCTCCCCAAAAATAAGACAGGGTCTTATATTAATTTTTGCTCCAAAAAAATTAGGGCTTATTTTTAGGGGATGTTTTATTTTGTTTCATGTACAACAATCTACATTTATTCAGATACAGTCATGTCATCTTCTTCTGGTTGCTGCACAACGGTGGAGGGCAGGGTTTCACAACTAGGGCTGATTTGGAGGGTAGGGCTTATATTACGAGCATCCTAAAAAATCATACTAGGGCTTATTTTCAGGTTAGGTCTTATTTTCGGGGAAACGGGGTAATAAAAGACATATGAACACAGAAAAGTTGTACTATTAAAGCACAGCTAAACAAATTATCATAGCAAAACATAACTAAAGTGAAAGCAGCTGAAAAGTCCATGGTCACCTCTGAAGATCTGAATGCAGTCGTCAATCAATTAGAAATCAGACAAGCTACCAAGGGGGTTGGTCGCAAATTAGTAAACTGTGCCCCCCCCCCGCTTTGTTTGGTGAGGAGAAAAGGACTCATTAGTAGGTCATTAGAGAAGCCAGATGCCACCCACTGTCTCTTTTTGATAGAGGAGAGAAGCAGGGACGAGAAGGCGTCCAGTGTTCAGGGTCACAAGATCCAGGGGCAAACATCAGGAAGTTTTCACTACTGCTTGAAAGTTACGGCTGCTCACAGTCACCTGTATGAATGTCAAGGAAGCATAAAAGCTGGCCAGGAACCTACCTGGAGGGCAGACTTTCTAACATTTGTCTTCTCATCCCCAGCTCTCAGCCTGAGCATAACCATGATCTCTTTGCCTGTTGGGAGGGGGAGAGAGAGAGAAGGAAAATGAACCGAGGAGTTTCGAAACAACTTTATGCTCAGCAGAGCATCACGAAGGCCGGGCATTTCAAGCATCCGCAGTGTGAATCATAGGCAAAAAACATGGGAAGGCACCCATCGGACTATTTTTGGTCCAAGCAGGCTGAGAGAGTCTGGAAATGCTTAGTAAAAACTTTCCCAAACTAATTTGAAGTTCTTCTTCCCTGCCATACCCCTGTTCCCATCTGACGAGGACTGGAGGCATCTTAGGATCAGTCCCTGAAATGAATCTTTTGCAGCGTGGGATCCTGGAAAGGCTATGTTGCCAAATCCATCACCACCTCTCCTCTCCCAGAGAGGGACTTCGGTCTTCTTTGCTCAGCCTCTCTCTCGATCTGCTCCTTTCGGGACTGCACTTGCTTCAGGCAGCAGCTGGCACGGAGTCTTCTTTGCGGTGGCTCCCAACTTGCTTTCTCGCTCCGGAGGCTGAGCAGCATTTGGACCTTGGCAGCTCTCCTCCTACAGATTGTTCGGTTCTTCAGCTCTCTCTCTCTCTCTCATCCCCCAAATAGGTACCAATGTTCTCTATAGATCCCCCAAATAGATACCGCCTCCCTCTGTCCTCAGCATCTCATAGGCTTGTATCGCAGGGCACCAGCATCACGGGCGTATACAACAGGTGTGTGGGCAGAAGGGCACCCCAAAGGGTCAAGACAGAGAGACTAGCTTACCTGAGGCTACTTAAATTTGCAGCTGAGGTGGGAACTGGAGCTTCCCAACTCCGAGCCTTATTTATAAAAACGGTCACGCCACCTTTTCAGCTCCACATGCCAAAGGCAACGGACGTAAAAGAGATTCAAAGCCACAGGTTTATTCCTCTTGCTCTGTATGTGCATAAATCTGTACTTTGGCTTACCAACAGGTAATTCATTTCAGAGTTGCCACCGGCTGGCTGGCTGTGTGCCACATTCACAGAGAAAGCTAAAAAATCCAGGAGACAGATCTCTCCCCCCCCAACCTCCGCAGATTCAATTTGCCTTTTGCTCAACTGCTCGCTTACTAGCCCTTCTTCAGAAGGAAGCCCTATTGAGTTTGATGACATCCTAGGTAAATGGAGACAGGCTGGGTAGCCCAGCAGTTTAGGGTATCAGGCTGCAGAGCCGGAGGTTGGGAATTTAATCCCCCCACTAATCTTCTCCTGGGAGAAGAGCCAACCTGTGTAGCCTTGGACAAGCTGCACAGCCCCAAAAATGTCCCACAGAAGAAGGAAACATCACTTCTGAATAGTCTCCACCTGGAAAAATCCTGAAATGGGTCACCAGGAGTCAGAACTGACTTGGCAGCACATAGTTATTATTAAAAGGAGATAAGACGGCAGCCTAGCAATCCTTTAGACATCAAGGAAATAAAAATCTAAGGGCTAGAATCCTTTGAAAATGTTCCTGATGCAAAAAATTCCAGCTTCCACGATTCTTGATGGGAAGCCATCAAAGGGTCACTGCACCTGCTAATAAATTCCTACAGATATCTTTCCGTATCCTATTGCCATACGAACATACAATTTGTACACCAAAGTGCCTTACCTATAAGATATCTTGAATACAAGGAGAATTTCTCTGTGGGGCTATTGAGACATCACAATAAGCCAGAATTCTAAAGGACAAATAAGAAGGCAAACATACTCTGCCCAGCTTTAAGCCAGCATTTCTGGATGGTGTCTCTTAGCCACATGCAGACTATAAGTAAATGCCCTGACATTCTGGACAGGCAATTATTTCTAAATGACTATATTCACCAAAGGAGATCAGTCTACAAGAACTGGTGGAGGAACAGGGAAAGCCAAGGACAGGCCCAGCCTACCGTCAAACTCTGACGAGTCTCGTTCGGTTACTTCGATGGTTTTGAACGTTGGGAAAGTCTTCTGACGGTGGCTGGTGAAACCTTAAGCGACGAAAACATAAAAGCCCCTAAATAAAGTCACCAGAGTCCATCATCCATGAACCACCCCAGAAAGTATTGTCTGGAGACCGACGCCTCTGAGAAAGACTCTCGAAGAGGCTGCTTCTGATCACGAGGGGGCCGGTTGTGTTGTGACATCAGAAACAAGCTACTCGGGGCAAAGGGGAAATACGATGCTGTTCGGCTGCTCAGAGAGCACAATGGCGTAGGCTTTTAAGCCGAGATGAGCAGAGGTTAGGGAATAGCTATTCGGACAGCTCCACCCGGGTGCATCTCTACCAGCTTCTGGCAGATGAAGAGTCCCTCTGGAAACCTGAAGGACAGTCTGACAACGTGGGGGGAAGGATAATGAGAAAGACCGCTTCATTTACCTTCTGTGGTAGTTAGGAAGGTCCCAGATGGGGTGTTTGAGTCCACTACTGAAGAAAAGGCAGCTGTGGAGGAGACAGAGGAAGAAGGCTGAAGATGCAATGTTATAATCAAAGGCTTTCTCAACACAGTCTGCATCCGGGCAGCTTCACTGCAGTTGCAAAAATGTCAGCAACATGAATTAACACCTTCCTCTGGATCTGTTCTAAACGGTATCCTGTTGTACTTAGAAACTCCTTCTTCCAAGTTACTCAGAGTTATCACCTTTCCCTGCTCCCGCTTCACAACCACCCAAGAAGGCTGCTAAGCAGGCCGAGAGATACAGACTTTTGTGTCTTTCGTGAATAAGTGGGGATTTGAACCCCCGAGTCTGAGGATCTCAGCCGCACCATCGCGAGTCCACGACACTTACTGCCCTGCAAGAGCTCCTGAATGTTCTCCAGGTTAGACATGGCTTTGGTTTCCAGGCACTGAGCGAAGCTCAAAAGGGCTTTGCTGCGGACCGTCGGCACTTTGTCCGAACACCGGCTGAAAATCATGACCTGCACCAGGAATTTGTGCTTCAGGAACATCTGCTGTTCTTCCGACAAATCAACCTCGGGATCCCGTTCTGGAAGGTTCAGAAGGGCTAAGGCGACATCGAGGGCAAACACTCGGTAGGAGATCTGTTGGAGAGAAAGGCCGGGCCATCAACGACCCCCTTGTATGTATTATTCCTTAAAACATCTAGATCCCGCCCTGGGTCAAAATTTCTCAGCGACCATCTAAAAGGACTGTAATCCACATGCAGTAGGGCCCCCGTATTGGTGGGACTGTGATCTGTGGTTCCAATCATCCACAGTTTCACTGATCTGCAGTCTGAAAGTATTAAAAATACAAAAGGGAATATGTATGTATGTATGTATGTATGTATGTATGTATGTATGTATGTATGTATGTATGTATGTATGTATGTATGTATATTCACAATGTATTTATCAGAACTAACTGCTAGGGAGAGCAAGACCACGCTATGTATTCTTCTTCAACAGGAATACACAGCATGGTCTCTGGTTCCCTCTAGTAGCCAGTACTGGTAACAGATGGTGAAAATACTTTTTCTGGGTTTCTTTTTCTTTTACCCTGCTATGTATAGCGTTCGCTATTATCTGAGGTTTTCAGCATCCGGTGGTGAGAATACTTTTTCTGGGTTTTTTCCTTTTACCATGCTATGTATAGCATTCGCTATTATCTGAGGTTTTCAGCATCCGCTGGCAAGGCTTGGAACCGACCGCATGGTGTGCCATCACCCCACAACCTAAAGTCAAGCGACCACGCTCGGTCTCCCAAAACTTTGCCAAGAGCCAAGTTTTTAACTTAACCACCCAAATGGGGCCAACAACTAGGGAGTCACCATAGGGAAGGCCTTCTCTGGTGTCCCCACAAACTGTAGGGCTGGCACTGCAGAGATGCGGAAAAGGGCCTTGCTAGCAGACCCCAATGCTTCTGGTTGGAAACCTGATACCCAGGTTGCCAACCGTGGGGCCTATGGGGTTGGAGGCCACCTGAATTTTCCACCTTCATCCCAGAGGCAAGGATGTGACCGGGCTCCCTCGCCGAAGGGCTAATGAGATTGCCACCCGTCTCACCTTGCTATGGAGCGAGAAGCTGTACAGCCAGGCGATGAAGTCGGCGTGGTTCGCACACGGGAGCCTGTACAGCAGCTGCACCAAACCTTGTGCTGCCAACGAGCGATACTCTGTTTTATCAGGGACCTGGGAGCAAAGAAACGGCTCAGGCTGATTTGAACTGGGGGAAAACTTCAGCACACTTTCAGCCTCTGGAGCCAGACAGCGGTTAGAAACAGACATAAGCAACTCAAGAAAATTGGCTGCTCCAGGTTGCCGCAGAGACAACCGAGGAAATACTTTAGATGATGCACTGAACAGGCAACACAGAGCTTTGTGACATCATGAACGGATCAGAAAACAATGCCTCAGCATGCAGAGGATGGCATACAGTTACAGCTAGAGATGGGCACGAACCGGGAAACCAGGGGCTTGTCGTGGTTTGTGGGTAACCACGAACCACTTCCCAGTTTACGTTCCTGGTTGGTGCCGGGGGGGGGAGGGCAACCCGGTCCTTCTGCCTCCACCTCCGCCGTGGGCACATTGTCAGAGGCAGCTGCAGGTGCCGAATGGGGCAGTGGGAAGAGAGAAAGTGGGCATCCCCTCTTTTTGGCCAAAGACCATGAAACACAGAAGAGAAAAAAGTTGGGCATTTCGTTTTGCTTTGGCCAAACAGGATCCCCAAACTCATGAAACGAACTGGCCCGATTCCTCAGTTGTTGTTTTTTTTTGGGGGGGGGGTTCATGGTTCATTTCGTGACCCTCTCTAGTTACAAGTGTCCTCAAAGGATTTATTTTGAAACCTGGATCTTTTTTTTCTTTTTAAAGACAACCTGATGCGCCAGAAACATGTTCCGCAGACCCGGTGTTTATCCTTCTATGGCCGAAAAATCAAGATCGCTGCGCCCACGGTTCCCCACACGCCACCCTTGGGCCAAGACCAGACCAGCCCAAGGAAAATCCCCAGCTGATCCAGCGACTTAAACCCCTCCCTCCTGGGCCACTTCGCCTCCTGCCTTCAGGAAACCCACCCTCTTTTTTTCAGAAGAAAGCTGTGTGATGAACAGGACTTACCTTGGCACAGATGTGTTGCAATAAAATCCGTAAGATGGGAAAGGCAGCCTCTTTCAGTTCCTCAGTTAGAGAGCTGGGGGGGGTTGAGGGGGAGGGAGGTGTGAACGTTATTTGAGAAGCAGCCCTGCGGATGCTATGCTTGACACAATTCTGTTTTTAACAAGAGAGGGGAGAGACTGGGGTTTCCTAAACCAACACAATAAACATGGGTTTAGCATAATACGAAACCGGTCATAGGCTGAGAGCTACTGAGCTTCATGGCTGAGCAGAAACATGATCCTGTATGATGCCCGTCCATATTCGATCCACTCCGCCACTTATCTAGCCACTGAGAGCGACTAAGAATTCCCTCTAGGCTAATAAGGCACGTAAGCTTACATTCTTACATATTTATATTTGTATGTATAATTTTAAGAAGGCTGCCTTGCCAGATTACCATTCTGCGCCCAGAACTGAACACACACAACAACCACATTGTGTGTCACTGATGTGAAAACCTTGGTCTTGCTCTTTGCTTTTATTAAACCTTTTATTTTATTCTGATTTCACATGCTTGCAGGCCGAGTGCTCTGCCAGGTGGTTTCTCACCAAGCCCACACATCTGCTTAAGCTTCAGTAATGCAGCTGCATTAATAACATGGGTAACTGAGAAAGAGTATGAATTTTATAAATTCCTCACCGTTTGGAGAAGTTGAACACCCAAGGGCTGCTAATGGGTGAAAAGCATGAGACTCTTCCCCATTGTTGTTGTTTAATCATGAAGTCGTGTCCGACTCTTCGTGTCCCCATGGACCAGAGCACGCCAGGCCCTCCTGTCTTCCACTGCCTCTCAGAGTTGGGTCAAATTCGTGTTGGTAGCTTCGAGGACACTGTCAAACCATCTCATTCTATGTTGTCCCCTTATCCTCTTGCCTTCACTCTTTCCCTTCACTCTTCCCCTTAACCTCCCCATCTAAATGAAGCGGAGTTGACACACACATTGAATCCATGTCCGTGAAATGCAGGATAGTTAAAACAACTTGATTCCCCACTGTGTGCCTCCTGGGAAAAAAAAGCCAGCCTGGGTGGCCTTGGGCAAACTGCACAGTTCCCAGGCACCCGCAGAAAAGGGGAGGGATAAAACACTTCTGAGTATTCTCTACCTAGAAAACCCCAAAGAGGGTCACCATACATTTGTTAATGCAGCTCTGTGCAGGCACAGAAGCTAAGGAAACAGCTCCACGGAGCTTCACCTGATGAATCCGATGGCGTGGTTCCGAGCAGCGATGGCCTGAGACGGAATACTGGCTGATGCGCCGCCGGAGGCCTCTGTCCCGGCCACCATGAGGATGATATTGAGAAATCTGTGGAAGACGCGGCGCAGAATCTGAAAGATAAAGAAGAGAGGGACTAGCGGGCAACAGGTTGCACATTCCACATTGCTCGCTTCTTGTGACAAAACCTGCATGCCCGGCATGTGTGAAGTGAACTCAAAATTATGGTGCATAGAGGTTAGAGCCGGTCTCCTCTCCTGGCGCTACAGGGCTTTGCAGGAATGCCTTCCTTAAAAGAAAAAGTAGACTGCAACCAGAGGGAGAGCGGGGGGACATTTCCCTTTCCCCAATAAAGTTTCTGCAGTCTGCTGGCATTTTCTCTTCCCCGAGTGGGTCTGGAAGGCAGCTCAGCCTATTTCCGCAAAAACAAATCAAAGCAAAAACTCCCACCCATTCGGGTGTGGCAACATCAACCTGGGTCAAACTACAACTGGACTACTATTGGACTCTCCTCTCCTCGTGCCAGGGATTTAAAGATCCCCTGGGGCACAGGTGCCATTAACCACGGAATGCCCGTTTCTGTCTATACCCTGATGTGCATCTAGAAGCTGAAAAAGGCAGATTTTGGCTGCAAGGCTGTACCCTCCGGATCACATCACCTGACAGAGCGAGGAAAAGGAGAGAAATGTGCTTCACGTCTTCAAGCACACAATTTTTAGACAACCATGCTCATATATCACATCATGAACTGCTCAGTGGTTTAGATGAGGTTGGGAGTTTGATTCCCCCCCCCCCACTGGGCCTCCTTGACGGGGCTGGACTCAATGAGGGTCCCTTTCAGCTCTGCAGTTCTATTGTTATAACGATAATACGGGTGCCACATCCAATAATTATGATTATTTTAGCAAGGGACACTCTAAATTAAAAACCCAGCAGAAGGCACATTTTACTTAGAACGACTGAACTGAACAAAAAGCTCAGAGTGTCAGCCTTTCAGGGGATTAAAAGAATCAAAGGAAACATTATTCCGAGGATTTGTCTTGACTCAGTATGGAAATGCTCCCCCCCTCTTCCATTCCTTCTCCCGAAATGTCACCCTCCAGTCATGTGTGATGGTATTAAAGCTCCCTCTAGCAGGCAAACCAAGAACTGCTTTCATCCTGCAAAGGTGGGATTAATTCTGCCTGACGTTTCTGACCTCAGGAACACTCTCTCTCTCTCTCTCTCTGTGCGTGTGTGTGTGTGTGTGTGTGTGTGTGAGAGAGAGAGAGAGAGAGAGAGAGCGAGAGAGAGA